GTCTTACCGTCTTTAGCGGCCTGTGCCGGGCGGGCAGCCCTCGGGAAGCATAGTTGTGCCAGCCTTCCCCTCTCGCGTCCTGGATCTGTGTTCCTCTGCCGTCCTTCGCTGGTCGGTGGATCCAGCTGATGGTGCTCTTAAGCTAGGTAGTAGGTTCCTATGCTGTTCGTGAAAGGCTGCAAAGTCTCTGCCTCTGGGTACGTGCATCTGGTTATCGATGGCAGCGTGGACCAGAGATGACCGGAGGTGTGCTCTTGCATCCGAATCAGTGTTCTGCATAAAACCAAACTGAATCTCCTTTCTCCCAGAAGGGCTTTCAGAGGCTTCTCCCTCTCCTGTTTTAACTGGCTCTGTTCTGGTATACCTCTGTTACATGTAAAGCCCTTCCACGGTTTAGTGCAGGTAGCTCTGTAGATTTCCTTTCTTGTGCATGGAGTGTTTAAGTTCAAGGTGGTGTCTTGGGTGACTTTTTTTTTTTGTTTTTCTGGCCTGAAAATGGAAAAAATCATAGTAACTTGTCTCTGTACAAACTACTGACTCTTCCAATTCTATGTTCTCTTTCAAAGGAAAGTAGCGGGCATGTGAGAAAATGAATGAAATGGATGTGGTAATTACTACTCTGCAAAATAAATATCCTCGGTGGATGCTTGCCCAGAGCCAAGAGGGAATTCCGGGTGATAAAAAGGTATGCTGTCACATTGGGACCATACAGTCTTGTTTTTAGGCTGCACAAAAACGTTGGCCTGTACATACTTAGACGCATGCCTCCGACTTCTATTGCTGGAGTGTTTACAGCAGTTTTGTCCTATGAACTGTAATTATATTTAGGCACTTTTGAGCAGTTTATTTCTGTTTTAATTAGCTCGTTTAACTTAAAGAAAAATCACTTTAACAGCATGTCAGATATCGGCGCAGGGATGTTGCCCTTACCCCTGTAGAAAGGTGCTTCTGTCACTAAGGTTCAAGATTGTCAGAAAGAACTAAGTATAACAGAGGTCTTAGTGATCTGCCCACTCAATGTTTTTGTCCATACATCACTAAACACTGGATGTTTTTCATCTATGTAATTTGGGAGCTCAAAATGAAATGGAAGTGGTACTCTGACAGAAGAGTTTATCCCGGTAAGGCACTTTGAAATTGTGCAAATGAAGGAAGTCAGTATTTCAGAAGGTTTTGTTGGCCAGAAATATCGGAAGAATGAGCTGGTCCTCAGTATTCTGCCCAAATTCCTGCTGTTAACAAATAATGTGTTCCTAGATGTATTTTTTCCTGCATGAATGAGCACTTTAAGTATAAAACTTTCCATTAAAGGCAAAAAACAAAAAAAACCTTGTGAATGCATTAACAATCAGAACACTAATTAAAGAAAAGCAGAAGATTCACTTCAGCAGTTTTCATCTATAAAGTGGGAAGAAAGAATTAGTAGCATGGAGATTAATCAAGTCATCTGAAAACATGGTTTTCAGTTGCTCTGGTACAACCTGTGTACTGTGGCGCACTGCCCAAAAAAGTTATTTGGGGAGGATTTTGATGAACTCTCCTTCATTAACCAGAGGAGGAAACATTTCTTCGTGCAAAGAGGAAATTGTCAGCATCTTTGCAGATCTTGCAATCTTTGCAGATTCAGATTCTCCCTCTTCCAGACTGTTTACCACTTCTGAAATGCTGTTAATAAACTGTTTTATGTAATGGGGCTGGTCTTGGTTGATGAGCTTGTTCAGTTCCTTAAATCTTAAAAAGTATGACAGATGTCACATATTATTACTGTCATCATAGCTTACTTGCATACTTGTTACTGACCTGAAGGTTCTGCAAGCAGGTGAATGTTTTCAGATGTTTTGCAGCTGGAGTAAGTTCCTGAGTCAATTATGTTGGGTAATTAGGCTTCTGGGGAAAAAACAGCACTGACTGGAGAGTTCAATTTTATCTTCTCTTCTGTGCTTAAGCTTTCCAACCATAAACCAGAATTCAGTTGATGGAGAATATTGGTCCATTTGAATACTACATGTGGTTTTAAATCCATGGATTTTACTTAGTGCATGACAGACTTCACAAAGATCTAGCTGGCAGTGTTTAACTATATAGTGAAACGGGCTGGCAGAAGCAAGGGACCAAAGAAATAGATAACTGAGCTATGGCATAGCCTGTGATGCCTTTGCTCCTAGTCCTGTCCTTTGCAACTGCAGCTTACCCACAGGCATAGTAGCTCTTTGCTCCTTCTGCGTTCTCTTCTTCAAGCATCGTAGAGCTGCGCTCTGTTTACTTCTGAGTGTTGCCCACAAAGTGCGGTGTAAAAAGAGCATTAATGAGGTTGTAGAGCTGAGTACCCAGAAGATGGCAAATGACCAGATTTAGAATTACCTGAATTTTATTCTCACAGAGTGGTGCAGTTTATTTTGGGGATCCTCAGACACATGAGCTACTGCTTTCAGTTGAGTTTGTACTGCAAATGGAGGTGCTTCAGAGGCTTATAACCTGACCACATTTGAATGGATTTCGTAATGACTTTCAAAGGCCACTCCTTATCAAATTTCTGAGGTGGGGAAGTGCCACAGCATTTGAAATAGCACTGAGCATTTTGAACACCATCAAAATTGCGCTTTTTCCCAAAGGCTGTTTTTTAAAGAGTTAAATTCGTTTGGCTGGAACAATCCAAAAAAGGTAAATTGAGATGCAAATTCAGTCTGCATGCTTTCAACCCCAGTACTTGGGTTTACTCCTTGATTTCTTTGCTAAGCTCCAAAAGTCCTAATAGGAAGCAGTAGCCAATTATTAGTTGACAGTGGTACTAGCTCTGCATATGGAGTGAGGTTTTGCAACGAGGTTTTAGTAACGATGTGTCCCAAACCTGTTGGGATATGGCTTTAAGATAGTATTTATCAGTTGTAGTGCTGATGCATCTCTGTAGCAAGGGTACGTGTGGCCTAAAACAGGCTCTCTTCCAAATGTCATTCAACAGAAGTCTAACGTTCAGAGGAGCGTTCTGGAGGACGGACTGCCGTTCCTGGAGTTCTGTGGCTCCATTGTTTACAGCTACGATGCCAGTGACTGTTCTCTTCTCTCTGAAGATATCAGGTAATAGCTCTTTCTCTGTTTCTTTGGAGTGCGTTTTTCCACTCTGAAAAGGACTTGGCTCTTCTTCCTCTCTGCTTCTCCTTGCTGATTGTGCATTTTGTGTACCCAGAGGTCAGCCAGAGAAAACCTCTGGTGGTACTGGCTTTCTTGTTGTGTGTGGCAAAGCACAGCGGTTGCAAGCACGAAGTGAAGCTGTTGCTTATGACAACAAATTATCCCTGTGGGGGATATCCCTGGCTCATGCGTAGTGAGTGGAATTTCCAAAATACATCTTTGCGCTGTGCTATATGGTTGTAGTTCAGGACTCTTCCTGGGAGATACTGTGGTTGAACCTTGCGCTCACTTGAAATGGAGTTGTGCAGTACAAGCTCTGATGCAGATTTATCTGGCATGGTGAAAATAGTTCCATGATTTCCAATGACTTAAATAGGAAATATGAACTGTATTTAAATCAAAGGTATGTGTGAATTCATAAAACCCCATGGACTGTATGTTTGAAGAAATACTAATTCATGATGCAAATGGGTTTTTCTTTTTTCTTTTCTTTTTTTTTTTCTTTTTTGGATAGCACAACTCATCTTTCTGGGAAAATAATTCAATATGAAATTTTCAGTGCAGTAGGATAAATAAAGAGCAAACCTTCAAGGGGAAATAATCTGTTCCTCCTTTTGTATCTGGTTATTTCCTGAGGCCTGCTGTACTACCATCTGCATGGAATAACATCTGCCAGAAATCAGACAGATTCGAAAAGTTTTAGGTAGCTTCTTGAAGTAGGAATTCCACCTGCTGTACAGGGTTGTATGCTGAAAACTGTCATAAAGTGGTTTCTGTGTCCCATGCATGCGAGAGGAAGAATATACTGGCTATGATTCTTGCAGACATCTTTATGTATAATGACTTAAGTCTGATATTTTAAGTACTGAAGGAAGGACAGTTAAATGTGAAGAATGTCAATGTCTTTTCAGGGGGAGTTTATCTGATGGGGCTGCTGTTGGATTTGATATTGAATGGCCGCCATCATATACTAAAGGAAAAATGGCGAAAATAGCTGTAATCCAAATATGTGTAACTGAGGAAAAATGTTACTTGTTTCACATCTCTTCCATGTCAGGTACTGTACTTCCTCTATTCCTGTTAGTCTGGGCATGAGTGAGTTACCACATTGCGTGTCATTTGGTCCGAGCTTTCGCCTTGAGCAGTAACAAATATCTCATGCTACGTTTGATAGAAAGAAAAATTCGTCTTCTCCTCCCCCTCGCTTATAATATAGGGATTTATTCGTGGAGTCTTACGTAGGGGGGTATGTCAAGAGGATCATAGCCCAACTCCTGCACTGTATGCTAGCGTATAGCTTGTTGGGTTCTGAATGATATTTTCATTTGAGGGTTAATTTTTTTTCTGTTGAAAAAAAAATTTGAATACACCTCTTAAAAGAAAGTTAATTGCATGTTGCTATAATGAGGTTTATTTTGGCACAAAAAGACAAAACCTAAATTTAGATGGCTGTACTTCTTAATTTGGCTTGAATAACAAAAATGGCCAAAAATGGCCACTGTGCTGTTTGTTCTTAATATCTGCATTTTTGTGACACTGGTTTTCACAAAGAACTCTGAATACCTGGTGTGATGTAGTCGTGGGGAACGGCGGATGCTCAACAGAGTCTGAACTCATTATGGCTGTGAATAAAAGCTTGCAAATAGGAAAAATAGGAATGGGGGTAAGCTGATGCAATTTTATAACCTTTAGTTTGAATGTTAGATTGAAACGATGCCCGCGAGATGTCTCTGATTTCCCTGGGGTGTGCATGCTGAGGTATAATAGTGATAGTTTAAATGGTGGTGTTCAATCCTTTGTCATTTATAGCAAATGAAGTGGAAAACTTAATTGCCAGAGGCTATTCAATCCAGGAGGCAGAAAGGTATGAGTGCACAAAAGAGAGAGGTTTGAGGAAAGCAAGCTAAGGAAAGAGGAGACACAAAGAGCAGAAACGCTTTTGATTCTAAAGGTGAAATTATTTGTCTATTTGTTGATGTTGGATGTGGTTGTATGTGAGCCGCTACTAAGCGTGTTACAGCTGAAGATGGTGTTTCTGCCTGGGTCATTTTCTAAAACTTCCGTTCACGCCAGTGGGAGATGCACTTTGAACTGACAGAGGTATAATAAACCTTGTGCCACGAACCACAGCCAATTTCTGCTTATTATTCAGAATGCTTGGCTTACAGGACTATAAATGTTGGCAGATCTAGTCAATTGGACAGGGCTTACCATATTTTGTTGCAAGAATAAATACATATTTTTAATGTTGCTCTTAATGTGATGCATGTATAAATATAGTCCATCAACTCTTTTCTCTTCTGCCTATAGGGAGAAGTATTTTTTTTCTTGGTTGTTTTTTAGCAAGATTCTTGGCGATTTTCTATTTCTTAGTCACTGTTTCCCTTTTAAAGCTCCTTTTTTTTTTTTTTTTTTAAAGGCCTGTTACTCAGATTGTAGCCTCTGTGTGGTATTGAACTAGGACCTTTGTCGTTCGTAGAGTGTTTTTTTTTTTTTCTTACATGACGTGGCAGAAATGGAGCAGAAGGTCTTCCCCTGGGAAATTCCCATCCTTGAAGGTTTGCATGATGACATTCTTAAGTGAAAATCCCTCGTTCAGGAAGTTAGTTGCATATGTTATATGCCTTAATTCCCACGTGTATCCCCTCTTCAGAGGGTTCTCCAGAGTCTGTTGCAGTTGAGGTGCTTGTGGCAGTGTCATACTTCAGAGGGTCTGCCTTTTGCAGCCCCAGATTAGCGCAGTTTTATCTTTGGAATAGTAATTCTCTGACATTTGGATTTGGACCTGCAGCTTCATAGCGCACAGTACAGCTGATTGCAGTTACAGTTTCGTAAGAGTCTTTATGGCTTCTGCTGATATTCTGTACAAGCATGGAGATTATTGTGTAATGTAGAATCAGTGATTGCTGGCATATATAAATGTTGATCACCTTAGTGAAAAGGTGAAATCTGAGGTCAAAACCAACCAAGACTTTAAGTGCCTTTGTGCTTGTGAAATACTGCACGTTTGTAGGTACTGGAATTGCATTTGGGCCTAATACAGGGTATTCAGCTGTGGGTTCCTGAAGATACATGTTTAAATAGGAAGCTGTGAGTTATAAATGCTGATGAAATAGGGGGAAAATGGCAAGCTTTTCATTTTGGTATCAAGTACCTGTGGCTGTTTCTTCTTCTAGAAAACAAGATTTAAGAGCCGTGTGCTTTTATTCAATCTTGAAAACTTCAAAATACCTTTTGATCTAGGATTGCCATGAGATCAGTTTGGGCTGATTCTTATTTTTTTTGACTGACTTATTTGGGCTAGGTGGAGGATCTGGTTGCCTAATTGCATGTTTTCCGCATACTGTTTTTGGACCAGCCTAGTGCTAGCACTGAATATGTACCACAAAGTCTGTTCTCCTGATGGTTCCCCATACTTACGTTTTAAAGTATTTCCACTGAACACAGAAGGGCAATAATTTGGAATGGTTATCATATGGAAAATAGTAAAGCAATATTGCATTTGGTTTCATGTGCATCCAATTCTGTAGATTAAAATGTTTTTTGCCCTGGAGACATTGTATTTTTGTCACCTGATTTGATGATGAGTTAGACAAATGAAACGGAAGTCGTCTTTAGACTTCACATATGTTCAGACACAAAACGAACGTGCATGTTTTCAGTATATCTTTCCTACTTGTCTAGGTTGCAACCAACTGTTGTTCCAGTCACTTCAGAGTAAAAACTGAATCATATAGCCATCACAACTTTTTGGGATTTTCCTCCTTATTTAAAAAAAAAAAAAGGCTTTCTCAAGTGGTCTCATGCTAGGATTTTGTCATTTCCATTAGAATATCTGTCATCTTTCAGTGTATGGCTTCTAAAGTTTGGGCTTAATCTATTTTAGGTTTTCCCAAGGGACTCAAAAGACTGCTGGAAGATGAAACAATTAAAAAGGTTGGCGTAGGAATTGAGGGCGATCAGTGGAAGCTGATGAGTGACTTTGAAATCAAACTGAAGAGCTTTGTGGAGCTGGCTGACGTTGCTAATGAGAAAGTAAAACTTAAACCTTTTTGTTCTGGGGAGGGCTACTTGTTATTGTGCTATGTAAAAGGAAGCTTCCTTGTCTTGATAGGAGTTCAATTCTCTGAATTATTCCACAGAACATGCTTGCTATCAGAAGTATTAAAAGTTATTGGGGGGTGGAGGGGAAGCTTGAGTTTCCAAAGAACTCTCAATAAAGTCTGCAGAATTAAATGCTCTGTTATAGTGAGCCAGGTTTTTAATACAACTTTCCTTCCCCTCTCAGCTCTGTTCTCCTTTTTCGTTTAGAAGGTACAGCATTTTAAACTCGGCTGCAGATGTATTTCTTACACTTTTCAGTGACAAACTGCTAGACTGTATCAAGTCAGGGTTCCGGTGTTAATGCCGTACCTTTCCCAGCAGTGGCTGAACCTTCAGAATAAGATAAAAGAAATGCTGCAGAGGCAACGAAGGGTTGATGCCTCCTGAAGGAGTTCCCTGTTTGCTACTGCTTACCTGGCGTGGGAAGTCTGATCTTCCACGATGTCTTCCATGCAGGGCTGTTAGTCAGATGACCTAGAACCACAGAAACGTCTCTGTTTCCATGACTGCTAAGTTTGTGGTATCTGTCTTCTCATGTGGGGGTGGTTTCCATGGTCTGGCTACCTACTATTTAGAAGCTGTATTATATTTTGCCTGTCCTGAATTTCAATGTAGTTACATCTCTGTGCCTGTTTATTAGGGAAGTGGGCAAAAAGCTCATTACCTTCCAAATCGTCCTTATTGTCGTATTTCAATTGTGTCCCTCAAAGCTTTTCTGCTCTTTGTATATGCAGAATTTTTCCTTACCTATACTCAATCTCTCTGTGAACCTCCCTTTTCCTCTGTGGGTTGTTATGTGGATAATAGCGTCAGTCACATTTTCCAGGTAGAGGACGGATTTATGCAGAGGAAAAGTATTTCTCATACCTTCCTCTGTAACATGCTTCATGTATCGTGTGTAATTAAATCATGGTGGAAAAGAGAGGGATGTAAGGCATCTTCAGCATTCAGGGCAGTGCTCCCAAACTAGTGAGCCCCTTTGAGGTTTTAGTTTGCAGCGGACTGGGAGCTATAAAAACGAAATCTGTTTGTTCAAGCAATAGAGGAGGCTAGGTTTTTTTTGCAGAACTGGAGTTTCCAGAATTCACCCCTCCTTTCCCTCTTCCCCCAGCATCCAACTCCAGGATATTCTGTTGTGAAGTTGAGCAATGTAATCTGATAGCAGCTTTAAAGTCTTCTGCTAGAGAGAAAACGGACCATAAATAACCTTGAGAGTGAAGCTTGAGAGAACAAAGACTGGGATTAGATATAATGGCAAAATGGGTGGGAGGGCGGGCGGGGAAGAAGGTGGGATGGTCCTAAAATCAGCAGTTGACAAGTTTTTGAAAGCAAATTGTAAACTATGATCTCATGATGCTGCACTGCTTCATTAGGTTGACAGTTGTCCATGTTTTGCAAATACTCTTAAGTTAGAATAGTGGAGGACCATGCCTGTGAGTCTTGGATCCTTGGAATCTGAAGGAAAGTTTCCCACGCTGGTTATAAGAAAGCCAATTAGGACAACAGGCCATAGCCACTGTGAATGACACTGATGATTAGAAAAGCAACTGAAAACAGCAGTGTAGTGGGTTGATTTCTGGAGTCTTCCAGTGAACTGCTGCATAGTAGGCTGAATAACTGTTTACATGGTGTACAATTGCATGCATTATGCCTTGCACTTCGCTTCTCTGACATGCAAACGATGACAAAACAGTAATTGCAAACACGGATATTCCTCTGTTTTTATCAAATAAATTATTGGTGTTTTACATAGCCTTTTGTTATTATTTAAAAAGGCAAATAAAAAATGCTGGAGGAAGGAGGGTTTTGTGTTTAAGTTTTGTCTTTTGCTTTTATTTGTCCTGAGAGTACATTATACAGGTGCTTCCTTTTTTTTGGGTAACGTGACAATACTGTCTTGCAGTGCATGCACTCATCTGGCCCTAATATAGTCTTTCCAGCTTGACAGCATAAAGATGTCCTACAAGATTGCAGTTTTAGGGCAGGAAAGTAGAGGTTTCTAGTGGCCAAACTACCTCTTAATATGGTAAGAGCAGAATTAGGCCTGAAGAACAGTCAGTCTGAGGAACTAGTTTGTTCTGACTAATCTGGAGCGCTCTGTGCCTAATGAAGTATTAAATATGCTTTGCCGCTTTAAAGAATACATTTTGCTAAGCACAACTGCTTTCCCCTGTAAACAAGTCTTCTTTGTTTCCAGCTGAAGTGTAAGGAGATATGGAGCCTAAATGGTCTGGTAAAACACCTGTTTGGCAAGCAACTTCTGAAAGATAAGTCTGTCCGCTGTAGTAACTGGGAGGAGTTTCCACTGAATGAGAAGCAGAAACTGTATGCAGCTACAGATGCTTATGTACGTACAAGGAGAGATTGCCATTTCTTCCTTATATATAATTTCTTTTTCTAATGTGATGTTTGCTGCTGTTTTTATTGCCTTTCTGCTACAGAACGTAGTGAACATATGAATACTGTGGTCTACCATGGGTATCAGATGTTTGAAAGTAGAAATGCCACCAAATAGGCTGCTGTCCAATCCCTTCTTTGCCTTAAATGGCATTTTAGACTGTGGTGTTCAACCAGGGCTGTCAGAATATCTTTGCTGAAGATGTTACTACTTGTACCTGATTCAATGAACTCTCTCATTTACTGAAAGACTTGAAGAGGGTATTGTGTGGATGTTCTAGGTATAAAATTGAATGTAGTTGGGGGGGGGGGAAGAAATCCCATTCCGCAATAGCCCTGAGGCTACAATGAGGTCCTCTTTTCTTACTGTTGTATGGTGTTGCAAGATTTGCCTTTTTAGTGAAGTCTGTTCATGAATCGGATCTCCCGGAGGTTCTGCTGTCTCTGAACTCGTCAAGTAATGGTTAAACCAACAAGTATGCTGGAGGAGTGTCACTCCCTTTGCACTGACTTAATGCTGTCACCTCAGGGAAGTGAATTTTAATGGAGCAATGATGTGGATATTATCTGCATCTGTGTGCAATGAGCCTACACTCTTGCAGAGTGACTATTCTAAGCAGCTGTAATGCAGCTGACACGTGGATTGGTTTGTTTGTTTTCGTTTCTTCGGTTCTCTTGTCTGCAGATGCTTACTGTAACTTGTTAGCGCGCTCAGATGTGTTCTCTCCAGGCTTTTTTGGCTGTCTCTTTATAAGCTTCTTGGGATCGAAAATCCAGTCTCCTCGGCTCCTGTTAACTATGATAAGTGAAATAAAATTAATAAGGATCATTCAAGAAACATAACCTTATTCAGTGGTTAACACAACAGAACCACAGTTTGACTTACCAGGAAGAGTAACTATTACAGTTCTGTATGAATTTTTGTAGCTCTGTAGAAGTCTCTGCTGTTTTCATAATTTTGGAAAGAGGTAAGTTTTCCTGCAGTTCTGTGCCCTGTGAAGGGGTTTACTAATGTGCAGCTGAGTGCTGTCTGCTTACTGGGAGAAAACGCTTCTCTATGGCAGCCCTTGAATACAGCACTCTGTCTCTTCTCCCCTCATGGTTTTATTTCTGTGATCAGATCAGATAGGTAACACTGCCCCACTTTTCCTCCTGCGTTTTCTTCTGTGGCTCTGAAAACACTGCATGTTTCTCTTCCAGATAATTGTTCAGCCGTGGAGGGTTAGCTCATCTGAGGGCGTAGAACCCAAACCAGTGCAGAATGGGGCCTCTTGTCCTCAGAGCTGCCTGGTGCGGCTGCTCTAGTCAGCTTTTTCCTGGCCATATTGGCTTCCTGCTACGCTCTGTTCACCTGGCCTGCCTTTTGGAGCCTCACAGGAAAGCACGGGGGAGTAACTTGTTTCTCCTTCCTCTTTAAGATGCTTTGATTAACATGTGTAGCCTAATTAGCACATTCCTGGCTTCAGGCTGCTTTCTCCTGTTAGAACTTGTTATTCATATCAAGGGAAATATTAAACACACAGCATCTATCTTGGTAGATTCATAAGTATTCTCTTGGAGCATTACATAAAATCCGAATGATACGGAACAGATGGTGAGATGGGGAATGGAGTACTTAGAGCTCTCTATTAGCAGCTAATGTTATAAGATAACAATCTAGTCATAAGAATATCTGCTATGGTTTGGACCTCAGGACAGGACTTCCCCTTTGTGAAACGTTCTGTGAAATGTTACGTGGTTGTGATTGCTCTGTCGCAGTGCTTTGTTATTTGCAGTTGTATGGTGTGGCCTAAGAATGCCTTATGTAGGGTAATCATAAGGAATTCATGCCATGGCTTGCTGAACTAATTCTTGGCTTCCTTTTGTTTAGTCTTTAAACCTCTATGTGGTTTCTGCATAGAGTACTGATCACTGAATTGTGTTTGCTTTCCTCTGCAGGCTGGCTTCATCATTTATCAAAAACTGAAAAACATGAATAGCAGTGACCAGAAAATATTTAGTTTAAGACGAGGTAAATTACATATTCAAGCATAAGGAATTTATTCAATGTACAACTGAACGTTCAGTTTTCCTCTTAAGTTTTTTTCCATGGTATCCTTGTGTCGGGATTGTGTCTGACTTATTGGGGATAAGAGACAGCTTCCAGAGAGAGCAGACAGTAAAAGCTCTTAAATGACCTGTGTTACCATACTGTGCAACCCTTTTCCACAGTGATGTGGGAATGCAGTGTGTGTGCTATTTTCCTGCTGTATGAAGAGATGGAATGAGAGCAGGCATCCTTACTAGCTCGTTAATGAGATCGCTTCAGTGAGTTAATATAAATTCTGCTGATCCAGGGACCAAAGTCTAGTTTAAGATGGAAAAAGTACTTGTTACTTACTAAGGTTGTTTGTTTTTGAGGCATGCAAAGAGGTCCCAGATTTTTTTTCAGAGCAGCTCAGCTTTATTTACTTGATTAGAAATAGTGACTCTGAAACCTTGGTTTTACTTCTCAGTTACATGCTTCATCAGGGAAGCTGAGTGTTGTGTGTAGTATATGGTTTAAAAAGAAAACTTTTTTCTTTGTGTTGTGCTGGCTGCCTCTTCCTTTTCTCTCAAAGACTGCTGTCATGCTGAAAGCTACAGCAGTAATTATTTTTTCCCGAGAACAGGGCTCGGGAGTTGACTTTGCACTAAATTTCTGGATTCTTTTCTTACTGCAACAGTCCTGAAATGCACAGGACTTGCTCTTGGATAGGAGTTGGTGATCTGCGGTGATCTGCAAGCCCCACAGGTGAACGAACAAAAACAACAAACAAACTTACTTCTCATTCTCTAATGACCTACATGAGAAAAGATCATGTTGTCTCTGAAGTGCTGTTACTTAGCTGCTCCCAGGGGCTCGAGAGGAAGGGGCTCAATGGGAAAGAACGGGAGAGGAGCACAGTCGGTGCAGCCTGAAGAGTATCAATGTAGGACTGCAAAGTTGGCTCTGTGCTAATATCTGTGTAGTCATACTGTGCATCACTTCTATCTCAGCTCCTTTTGGACTGAAAGTTGCAAGTAGGGTTTCATTGTTTAGGAAGCTGATACAAACTAGATTTTTTTTTTTTTTTTTCCCAAACCTTGCATTGAAGTTCAGGAAGGTGGTTGATGTAGTCAGATTATTGAATTTCCATCACTGGGATGGTAGTTTCTGATTGTGTAAATGAAACTTCTTGAACAATTTGAACTCTGCTCCAATACATATCTGGGGGTTGGACTAGATGATCTCCAGAGGTCTCTTCCAACCTCAGCCATTCTGTGATCATTTCTGCACACGCTGGAAGAGGGTAAACAGCATAAGTCTGTTTTCTAGCCTTTATCTGAAGGCTGGGATGGGGAAAGTGTCAGGGAGGGGATTAAAAAAAAAAGATTTGAAGATAGATGGGGATGGTAGTTAAGGTTTAAGTGGAGTACAAGGAACTTAGTTTTCACATAACACTGTGTGTGTATGTGAACTTGTGCACGCATGCTGTTGCAAAAGTGAAGGGTACGAGTGGATTTAAAAAGCCATTAGACCAAGTCACAGAGGAAAGTTTAGAAAGGCTAGTCAGCATGCAGGCTTCAGCATGCTCTGCTGCTGCTTTCTGGAAGCCGGAGGATATACTGGGGAAGGATCCCTTTAAAGTGGTCCTTGACTTTCCCTAAGTGTAAGTAACAGGCCACTGGAAGCCATGCAGCACTGAAACAGATGGAAATTTGATCTGATTCAGAATGCTTGATGTAAAGCACTGAGGAAGCTGATCCATCAGATGTAGATCTTATGGAAGTGCAGTTATTGGAAAGGTTCCTTGAATGGAGCTTTTCTGAGTACGGATGTTAAACTCAAATTATTGTCAAGTAACTCTGCGGCACCTCTTATAGATGAGATGCTGTCAGATGATGTGAAGGAGCGTTTGACTTCTCTAGCTGAAGAGATGGTGGATCTGGCTACTCATATCCCTGGCTCTTCTGGACAACTTGGAAACTTGCAGAGGTGGTGTGTTTTTTTTTTTTTTTGGTCACCTATCAGTGTTTTGCGTTATTATTGTCTGCTGAGGTATGACACAACACAGTGTATTTGTGTTAACAGCTATCTGTGTTACTTCTGCACCCTTATTTAAAAAACAAGAAAGCAAAGCTCACTCATGGGAAAATGTTGCCTTTATATCTAGATGTGGTAAATATAGGTTTTTCTTCTGACCTAGTTGCAGTGGATTTGAAGTTGAACTTTGCTAGATCCATTACTTCTTGCTGAAACGCTCAGTAAGACCTACTTCCCCAGGTATTCAGGACTCTCATGTAACTAATTTCATCAAGTATCTAGACTTCTAGTAAGTGTGGGAGCAATACCATGGACAGTGTCTTTGGAGAATCTTTGTAGCTTTTCTTCAGTCTCAGAGAGATTGGATTTGTGTTCTGATGGAAAGCAAGCTGCAGCTGAGTGACAAGCCTTTGTATATGAGATTTGGGAGAAATCTATCTGGAGAAGCTGAGTACCTTAGAATTCTCAGTTTTATTTGGGGATAAGATGTATGCAGAAATACTTTGTTGTTTTGATTTAACTTTGCTATTTTACCTTCCAGAGCTGCAGAAATATTAGCTGATATATCCGAAAATGTAAATGCTTTAAGAAGCACGCTATTTGGTTCCAGCTCCGCTTCTGTATTGGAGAGGAGCTGTGGTGCAGCTCCAACAAAACTTGAAGCAGAGTCCACAGATGTTGAAGCAGAAAAAGCTGAAACATCTGAATTTCCTAAAAAACTTCAAGGTGACTTCAACATCTGCTCAGATGCTACGTTAGCTGGCTTCTGGAAGGGAGACGGTAACGAAGGAGAAGCAGAGAGTGATAATGCTGAGAAGAAAGATGGGGCTGCAGCAGCTGGTTCTGAGGACAGAGCGGACAGAGATGACTTCATGTCACTAGACGTTACCGAGCACGAACTACAGATGTTGGAGCATCAGGCTGCAAAAGAATTTCTAAATGAAGCTATGCCTGAGGTAATGAGAAAAGCCCTTGTAAAACATAAACACTCACCAGAGGAATTGATCTCATCCTTAATTTCCCATGGGATTTTAAAAGGGTGTCTTGCTGAGAGGAAAAATGAAGGCAAGCTAGAGAAAGGGCTTGGAGTCTGTAAAGTACTCATGGAGGTAGTCTAACACTGAGCTGTTCTTCAGACGCCCTGTTGGGAGAACTAGTACTGAATACAGAAACTCGAGATACTCTGACTAGTTTTACTCTTTCAATTGTTAATACGCTTATGGTAAGAAATTCCTGCAGTATGAGGACAAATGCTGCAGTCAAAAACACCTCCAACTTGATCAGGAATAGAAAGCAGATCTTTATCTAAGGGGTCTGTAAATTGCAGTCCTTCTGTTGATTGCTGAATGTGGAGTGATGCTTTTTACATCAAACTGTAATTTCCTTATGTGCCAAGTATTTCCCACGTTTGGCAATTCTAGTTTTGTTTTCTTATCGCAGGGCTTGTGTTCTAATATTTTTCCAGATGTGTTTCACTATGGGCAGGCATCAGAGCTGAGTGTTGGGCTGAGTTATTTTCAATAAGAGTTGAAAGTGTACAGAAATAGTTGATAGCAGGTAAGAAGGTTGAGCAAAATGGGAATGGCTTTCATGATAGGAAAAAACATGTATGTTTTTTTTTTTTTTCCTAGGAGGCATCTTCCACAGATAATGAACAAAATATTTCCTATGTAATTGAAAGTGATGAAGAACTGGAGATGGAGATGCTTAAAGTGAGTGCCTTTGGGTTTGTTCTTGGGTCATAGTGGCATACGGCCTTGTTAAGGGGAGGAGGGAACAAAGCAAAGGGGGTTGCTTATGAAAGGCATACAGAAGTCAGGTGAATGTGGATACCTAAAGATTTCAAGTTACCAGTGTTAGGCCTCAATATCCCACCTATCCTGCCACATCTTTACTGTACCAGCTTGGACTTTTCCTTCCACCTGTTCTGCATTTGTGTAGATCATCGTTCACCAGCTGGTTTGCTCTAAGTATCACACTTTCAAACCCTTGCCTGAGGGTTTGAGCTGAGAAGGCAGCTTGTGTACTGTGGATGCTGCTCACCTGGGCTGTAGGTCAAACAAATTGCTTCATAGCCATGTGTTTTGCAGGGCTCAGTTCTTTGGTATTTTTACTGGTGTAATTTTTTTTTTTTCCTAAAAAGGAAAGATTCAGATGTTCTGTCTCACTTGTCTTTATCCTTGCTTTGCTCCGATCCTGCAGAGTGTGTGTTTATTTCGAGTGACATGTCTGAACAGTTCCATTATGGCAGTCACAAGTATTGATGTGCCCATACACATGTAGAGATTGCATGTGTCGCTTACAGCTGAATAAGAAGCAAAATACAAAAGGTCAGGGGGAAAGTGTTGTGTTTCCTTCTAGGGAGGGGCCAGGTCTGTCTTAGAGGGATCTCAGTGCTGCATGTCCATCTCCGAGAAACACAGTTTTGGTTTAAAAAGCTAATTTGAATAGGAGAAGCTTAAATGTTCCTTGGAGTGCCATGTTGGAGAAACACCGAGTATAACATGACATTGGGATCCTATTCTTTCTATTTTTTTTTGTGCAGCTAGCCTCAAAGTCACTTCTGTATGAAACTTCTGTCTTCTCAACCAAAAGAGAAAACTTCTACTACTAAAAGTTCTGTTACTGTGATTTTTCTTTGTGCTGTGCACTGACAGATCTGAGCTATGCCATAACTGAATTAAATCATGTGCCACTGTGTCATGTTACCTCAAACATGCATTGTATCTACCCTTTTGTGCTCTGAATTAACTTTTGCCTTAATTCTCAGTCTTTAGCAGATGTAGACAATTCTAAAGTGGTTTTGGCTGAGAGAGAGTCCGATAAAACTGGGAAAACCTCTGACACGGAGTTGAACCTTGCTCCAGATGGTGATGAAGATGAACGCATTGAGGAGGAAGAAGAAGAAAGTTGGGGTATGTTTTAAATTATAATGCAATAATGCATGGATTAAATCAAAAATAATAATGTACTGTCTTTAGAAGCAGATGTGGAGGCACAGTGACATGTTGTACTTGGTTTGTTGAAGCGGAAAGTAAAAGATGATCCTGATTTCAAAAGGAGCACCTGTTGATGTGTTAAGATCAAAACTTAAAGCTAAAGGTGTCCTTGGCTAAATACTGTTGATTTCTGCCATGATCAGTAGGCATTATGTATACTTGATGCGAGTGAAAGTGATTTTTGGGATGCTGAGGTCATGCAGAATAGAGGAGATCTATTCAGAATACAGCATAGGAGAAGACGCTAATCGCACTGCGCGTTTTCTTCTGTGGTGTCACCACTACTGCTCCTTCCCTTGGTAGGACTTCTGGGAAATTCTGGCTTGGGGGTGATCTTGACCTAATACTTTAGAACTGGCCGTGTGGATATAAATCAAATGGGAGAGCAGACTGGAATGTGAAGCGAAGTACACCTTAGTTTGTTTCAGCCCTTGCTGCCCGATAGCCTCCTTCACCAGTGGTACAGGTTACACCCTGGACCCTATTACTAAAAGTAACAGTCAAGAGAAGAGCCACTTGATTATTCATTCCATCCAGAACGTAGACTGCTGGATAGGGACAGATCAGTTCAACTTTGTTAGCTTCATTCCTTTAAACAGTTGCCTGACAGGCTGCTACAGGAAACGTGTGCTTGCCCAGCAGACAAACTAGATGGAAATTTAATGGTTTCCACTGCTTTTCACTGAATGCAAATTGCAAATTTAAGTGAAGTTATTCAAGAAATATGTTTCCTTTAATGTTCACAGCAAGATCAGGGAATCTTGTGTGTCCTTTTCGGACCACAATTTTGCAAGCAACTTATTGTCGGGTATTGATCAGCATAACTTTACTAAGGTTTTAAAAGGTGCTATTAGTGAAACATCTCTATTACCTCTTCTGAACGTGTTCCAAGTAATGCAGCTGAACATCACAGTATCTACTGCTTTGTTACCTCATTAATGAAGCCATATGTTCCCTTCATGTAGGGTGTCTCAGGAGCCTGTCTGCTTTTTTTAATCCTTAATTTCAGCTCATAAATGTCCTTAAAATTCGATATACCTCTTTTTACTGAAGTTGCCCAGATCGTAGGCCCTGGGCTTCACTAACCATAAGCAGCCTGTTGTCTTTCAAGCCGTTGCTGCTGCTTTTTAAAATTCAGTTGCAGATGGGTTGTTTTGTTTTTCCTCATTTCCCCCTTAAGATCCATTGCTGCCAGTACCTACTGAAAGCCAAGTCGCATGTCTGAAGACATACTTTGGGCATTCCTCTTTTAAACCGTAAGTATCTCTTCAGTTAAACTGTACGCTCTGGGCTTCAGTTTCTTTCCCTTGTTTCAACTGGAATGACTCTTTTATTACTCTTTATTTAAAACCCACTAACAAACTTGGACCTGTGCAGAAGCCTTGGAAAAGGAAAATCTGCCATTGCCAGAATAAGGTATTGAAATAAAACTTGCAGAGAATGAATTTCTTGACTCTCCTGATGGCACGACTCGTGTGATCAAAGCTTTGATCAGATCGTGTACCAGATCTATGGTCAGAGAGCAACATTTGGAGAAAAGCTGTTTTAAGGGAGAAAGTAACTTTTTAATTCACTGTACTTTCTTATGGACATCTGTGAGATCATAAAAGGATCCAAACTGTGTTTGGTGACACCAAGGTCCTCTTTAGAATTTATTATGTTGATGATGACTATAGTTCTCAGTGTTTGCATGTCAGCTCATTGAAGTATGAGAGACTTTGTTTGTTTTGTGGACTTCTGTGAATGACTGCATCAAATGTTGCTTGTGTTACTTTTGTTGAGAAATGCCACTGTAACATCAGCAGGACTTCCTGTGCTATGGTAAGCAGTGTTTGGCTGGATGCAACATGAAAAGAGAGGAAACTGTATTGGATAGCCAGAAGGATTTTCTTTAACTTTAATTCTGTGAGACTCCATATCTGATTGAATTTACACGTTGTATGTGTGGTGACAAAAAATAAGATTCCCCTTTAATTTAAAGGGTCCAGTGGAAAGTGATCAGTTCTGTTTTAAAAGACAGAAGAGATAATCTTGTTGTCATGGCAACTGGTAAGTAACCTTTAAGTCCATGCTTAAGAAGATATGTGAAATCTTTTCCTTGCTGGGGAACGCAGGATTTTGAAACTTGGAGACAGCCTGCTTGGATCCTGGGGCGGAGTGCGCAGGACTCGCCTCTCCCTCTCCAGACTGGGCAAGTCTCAGCCTGCTATGCTGCTTGCATTTCTGCCCCAGTCTTCACCACTGACCTGGGGGTGGGGAGGGGCCTTGAATGGATGCAGGCCATGCTTGTCTCGCATCTCTTTGTCCCTCTGTTGAAGGAACAAATTCTTTTAGGGCTCAACATGATGTAAACATTGTCTTACATAGCTGCACTGAGTGACAGAAAGCATGATGCTTTAATTCATGCTTTGTTGTTATGTTTTTCTTAAGGCTATGGGAAAAGTTTGTGCTACCAGTTTCCCCCTGTTTACACTGGATATACTGGAATTGTCATCTGTCCTCTTATTTCTTTGATGGAGGACCAAGTGCTGCAGCTGAGGTAAGTAACGCGGTAGTAACAGGCTACTGCTGTATTTCCTGTGGAAACCCACGGATTCTGCCTGTGGCCTTTGTTGGTGTTTAGGGCCGCAGCTTCACACAGCAAGCAGTTTGTGTGTCAGCCGTAAAACATACGTTTCTCAAGAAACAAATGTAATCTGTGTAAATAGTCTCAAGAACGCTACATTCACCAACTAGATAAGCCGAAGGCTGAATTTGCAAAGGATCTCTGATGGCGAGTGGTTCATGAAGTGGGTCATCCTCAATTACTGCCTGATCCGCAGGCCCTTTTCTGCTCAGATCAGACAGATGCAGCAAATGCAGTGAAAATTTCACAGGCCGTTCCAGCTTGTGAGAGTTATCTTAAAACTTGCTAGGGTATCCCTTGCATCTGAACAGTAGTATCTGAACAACATAGAGCTGGAGGCTGTGGGCACTTCAGATCAAGGTTATGGCACAGGATTTTTAAGATGAACGGTGGAGATCTCCTATCACTTAGCCTCTTTTCTTTTTCCAAGTTATGGAGATCTCATGTGGGAATTGCTGGATGTCCCTGAATCACTCTTATACAAGCAGTCATAGGTGTGACCAGAATACTCCCTTTTATGATTTTAATATCTGTTAGTGCTCTCTGTGTTTGTACCTGTTTGCTATTGTAACAGCTATTCAGTTTGGATATATTCCATCTGTATTACTGAGTGGAAATCATCTGTATTACTGAGTGGAGTTTGTGGAAATCATACTGAGCTGTCTAGGTCATTTCTGCCTTGTCCAAGTTGGAACGAAAATGCCTTTTAGGAAAGAATGGATACAAAGACCTTTTTTAAGTAAGGAATATCTATTATATGTGATACTTTCTGCTATGAATTATGACTTTGTGCAGCTGAATGGCTGGACAACTTAAACTGGCATGACACTTGGTTCTTGGGCTGAGTATTGATCAGCAGGGTGTCTATAATATATTCAGCTTCTTCTCTGGCTGTTGCACTGTTATGGTCAGTGTAAGATGAGAGCCTTTTTATTCAATACCTGCTCAGAGGGTCATTTATTTTGAAGGCTGAAGAGAATGAATTTCTGCAACCTGATGTGTTCAGTAATTGGGCTGTCAGTCTGGATGCAGCCCTACCAAGGGCTGAAAAGTGGAGGAATGAGCAGGGAGAAGGTGATGAAACAAACAGCTGTATTAAAAAGCAGTAAATCTCCAAGTTAAGAGGACAGAGGTCAAAGGGTCCTGGGAAAGACTGAATATCAAGTGACTAAGTTGGTAAGCATAAGTATTGAACCTGTTATTAAAAAGCAGCTACCCAATTGAAAGTTGGTGGATGTGCTCAGACTAGAGGCAAGGCAAAAGACTGGAGGCTAATAAGTCTGACATCTGAATGTGATGAACTGCCTAAGATAGTAACTGGAGAATATTCCCTATCGTATTTTGTTCTTTCAGATATTTTATTAGTCAGCTTAGCTTTTGCAAAAGGAAAATGGCCTTAATCTGCTTGACTCCTTATTGTTCTAATAACAATATGTGGGGGACAGCTGGAGGGGAAGCGGAAAAGCATTTGGGCGAGAGGAATGGTGACTGACCATTCTTGTTTTTCAAGAGTCTTTTTTTTCCCACAGAGATCCTTGGAGGAAAATACTCTATGACCCCACAGCTTGAAGTGTCTTTAATAAATGCTTTAAGTGCTTTGATAAGTGCTGGCTTTAAGTGCTGGCATAGACTGGAAACTGAGGCAGAAAACTAAGTCCATGACTAAGTCAGCTCATGACTGTGCTTTTTTTAACTGCAGAATGTCAGAGATTCCAGCCTGCTTGCTTGGATCAGCTCAGTCGAAAAACATCAAAGACGACATCAAAGCGTAAGTCTTGCCTAAGCTTTCTGGGACCGCAGGTACCGGCGCAGTTGCGTTTGAGTCAAGTAGGATGCTCTGATCTGACATTTCTGAAGCTCTTGACTGTGGCTCAGGCCTGGAGCCTGGCAGTCAGCAGTACTGCTTGCATGTGCCTGTTAGCAACGTAAGCGTGTGAGAGGCATATAGCCCCCTACCCGTGCCCTCTGGCTAGGGAGATGAGGTTTGTTGACTCAGCATTATGTTAGGTTCTATGCAGGAATCATGGGTCTCAGACCTGTATCTGTCACCAGGTTGTCACCACAGTCCCTTCTAGCTCTGAAAGCTAATAAATCTCCTTTCTTGCATTGTTTACTGGTTTGCTTTCCTGCTAATTTTGCATCCTTTTCACTGCAGTCATCACTTGTTTCCTCTTATCCCCATCCAGAAGTCTGTCCTTGTCCCCATTTATATAATCTAGACAGTCATTTGGTGGAATTGTTGGGATTTCTCCTTCAGTGACAGTGTGTTTTCCGGATGTTGCAGGGGTCATTACAGAGTCATATATATGACTCCCGAGTTCTGTTCGGGGAACTTATCGTTGCTTCTGGATCTTGACCAAACTATTGGTAAGTTGGAGTTAAGGTTGGGGATAGGTTGGTAGACAGCTTAAATTCATAATTACACTTTTTTTTTAATGCTTTGAGAATTTTCCACCTCTATTTCTCTCATCAATCAGCTCAGAGGCTAGGGTGGTGACTGCCAATAGATGGTATCAGAAGATGGTGTCATTGATCAAAAAGATGATCGTAAGCAAGTAATGTTTAGCAAGCTCTTTGCTTGGGAACGCTAAAAAGAAGTTACTGAGAACAGAGTTGCTGGAACAGGATCTCTCAGTCATAGGATGAAAATGTGTGTTACTAAACAAGGCTTCGGCATGTTTCAGGCTTTTAAGTATTTTAATCATCAAATTTTTTTCCAGACTGTGACAATAAAATTGTGTGTTTTGAAACACATGATACTGTATCTTAGTAAACTGCTTTCTCATCAAATATAACGATGCAGCTGACCCAACCCTTAAATAGGAGGGTATATCTGAGGAACCAATTCTGGGAATTTTTTTTTTTTGTGATACAGCACTGGAAACTCTGTTTCTGAAAACATATAGGACCATCTGGGAAGAAGCTGAGCAAGCTGAACATCTGTGGAGACCTGAGAAGCTGTGCGCTTGGCCTCTCTGAGGCTAGGGCACTTGAAACTAATAGATTTGAATATGTGATACCTTTACTCAGGTTGAGGATTCTTGCCCCCACTGCTCCAGGTTGAGAAAAAATGTAGCATTATTTTCCAGGGGCGTGTTTGACCTCTCTCCCCCATATTTTTATGGGCTTATGGTTTTATCTTCCGTACTTTCCTGTGACTCTTGGGCTTTGTTTTACAATTGAGGAAATTCAGCTAAAACCACGCATGTGCTAATTAGTGAGGAAGCCTGGAAAGGGAAGATGAAGTATGTTCTAATTGTTGGGGACAGCTCATGGGTTTGACCCATTGAGAGATGTTTGAGATTTGGAACTTGGAGAAGGAAGCAAAGGTGAGGGAAAAATCTGTAAAAGCTCTTAGACCCTCTTGCATAAGAGGCCAATATAAAAACAGGCTGGGAGTCATTACAGCAGAGGACAGCTAGAAACAAAAAGGAGAGCAGACCGCTAGATGCCTTCTGAGTAAAACTTTAAATTGAGCAGAATGTGGTGTTTGTACTCTGGAACTTCATGTTGTTTGTTTGCTATCCAAGTGTTGTGTCCACGTTGTGGCTCTGTCTCCGCTCCCAGGTATCACGCTCATAGCTGTTGATGAAGCTCACTGCATTTCAGAATGGGGACATGACTTCAGAAATTCCTTTAGGAGTTTGGGCTTGTTAAAGAAGTCTCTGCCGTCGGTAAGGTTTCATGATATGTTTGATTTCAAATAGGAGAGAAGGATTCTGTCCCCTCTCTATTTGATAGATTGAGATCTTGTCTTCTGATACTGCTTTTCTTTGGGTTTGCATACCATGCTGTTTTGGCGTTTATGCAGTCTGTTAGTCAGTAGGCGCTGTGTGTGTGTGTGTGTTTTTTTTTTTTTTTAAACTTCAATTGGTCGTGGCTTTTTTTAATAGTGGACATTCTGAACATGGATTACCAGATATTTCTGAAAATTAGAGTTAAGATTTAATTGGTTTCCTTTATACTGGAAGATCTTGTTCCAAAGCTTCTCGCTCAATATCTAAGTAGTTTTTTGAAACTAGTCAAGTGACTTGCTAGGACAAGCAGTAGAGATTTCTAGGCACTCCTGAAGCACTGTTGCACAAACTCCAAAATTTAGACCTGAAGTGTAGAGTCTGTCTTTGAAAGCTTTGTCCAGTATCCCTTAATTTCAGGCTACCACATCAGAAAAATACTGTAGTGCCCCTGAAGATAAAAAATAAAGAACATATAGAGGTTTTTTCCTGAATTTATATTTAATACAGTGTTTTATCCTGCTCCCCTGAGCAGAATAGACCAAAGCTCTAGGAAGCTAAATATTGCCTATGTTCTTTCAAATCATTGAGCTGATGTAGTGAACATAAGCAGATGAAAATGCCTGTCCTCATGCTGTTACTTCAGTTTTGACTCATGATCTAAAAAAGCATCAATAATGGATTTTGGATGACTTGTTTCTGCTGTTTGGTTTTTTTTTTTTTCATTACAGGTTCCTATCGTTGCTTTAACTGCAACTGCAAGCCCTTCGATTAGAGAAGACATAGTGAATTGTCTGAACCTGAAGAATCCCCAGGTCACATGTACTAGTTTTGACAGACCTAACCTGTACTTAGAAGTTGGACGACAAAGTGGAAATATCCTTAGGGATTTGAAGCAGTTTCTTATTAGAAAAGGAAGGTGAGGGTTGAAGCCTGAGCTCAATGTTCCTGCCACTAACCTCATAAGTATTAAAGTATATCTGCAATGTACCAAGATTTGGTGGCAGTCTTTGATCTGGTGAGGAACGCACTGGGCTCTCTCCCAAGCTTGACTGGTATCATGGGAGTCGCTTGTCTTGTTCACCAGCACCCATTCAGTTTGTTATTAAAGAAATAAATGTTTTGAGGCAGGGAAGGATGGTCTATCACTGTTCCCACGTGACCATGCCTAGGCACAAAAAAACTTCCAACTCCATTTTCCTAAAGGACAGACAATTTGTGTACAGTCAAACTATTCTCATAAAAGGGGCAAAACACCTTCTCCCTCTTGCTTTCCTAAGAAGAGCTGATTGGCAAACTTCTGCAGAGTTTGCAGAGCTGATTGGCAGACTCTTCACATCATATGGTGAAGCTCAGAGATCAGTCTCGAGCACTGAAAGCTACAAGCCGTGCAAAACCTAGGAGAACAAACTTACTTTTGCTGTACTAAAACAGCTCCATAGGAAGGTGGTAAACTGGTTTTAAGCTGCAGTACTTCTAAAATACGTGGGGTGATGACTTTTCATGCTGCTTGGGATCTTATCCATGTGTAGAAATATTTAAAAGAAGGGAGGTATAGAAAACAGATTTACAAACTGTTGAAATCTTTAAATCTTGAAGTCCTGCAAAAGCTACATCTTTTTAATTAGGGTCAAGTAGAGTTTTTGCAGACGGGTAGCTTCTCCTTTTCTGCATCTTTACGTGTTTTAGCAATGTCTTTACATGTTGCTATTACTTTCGTCAGTTCCACGTACGAGTTTGAAGGACCCACTATCATCTACTGCCCTTCAAGAAAGGCCACCGAACAAGTTGTTTCTGAGCTGGTGAAAGTGAACGTGGCCTGTGGTGCATACCATGCAGGCATGGGAATCAAAGAAAGGAGAAATATCCATCACCAGTTCATGAGGGATGAAATTCAGGTACGTGGAAAATGAAGTGCACATAGTCCACATCTGTAACAGTAGGGTTTCTGGTAGAAAATGGGGCAGTCATTGCATGAACATATACAGAGGAAAAACTTAGAAATACCAGCCTGTCTTTCTGGTTTACTCTGTATATCTCCCATTTTGGGCAAGAAATTGCTGGTCTGTGCTGACAGTAATATTTCTGGCATGTGTTTCAAAATCCTTTACTAAATCTCTTGAAAGCATATAGCATCTGAGGAAGCTGGTGGTAGTGGGAACCATGCCCTGCCAAGTTGTCAGCTGCTTTCTTCTTCCTGCAGCTGAGCAGGCAAAGAATTATCCTGGGGTTTCTTGCATTCCCCTTCAGGATGTGTTTTGTGCCCCTCTTTTTGGGAAAAACTGCTTGAAAAAACTGTAGCCTCTGTCACAACACGTTGTCGCTCTCATTAGTATAATCCTGTGCTCGTGCTCCTACCACTGTTGGGGTTCTTAAACTCAACTCCTACACTACTGCTAGTAAGCTTGTAGCCTGCATATTTTAGGCTGAATTTTGAGTCTGTAGTGAAAAGTTATTATCAAGTGTCTGAGCATTAATAGAAATCTAGACCTATTTTTTAAGGTGCAGTTCAAAATGTATTCTGTGTGGTCCTTGTTTTGTAGTGTGTTGTGGCTACAGTGGCATTTGGAATGGGCATCAATAAGGCGGATATCCGGAAGGTTATTCATTATGGTGCCCCTAAGGAAATGGAATCCTATTATCAAGAAATTGGGAGAGCTGGTCGTGATGGGCTTCCTGCTGCTTGTCATGTATTGTGGACGTCAGCGGACTTGGCTTTAAACAGGTAAGTGATTGAGAACAGCTGATTTGACATGGATAGCAAAGCTTACTGCTACAAAGAAAGAGAAGCAAGAGAAGAAAGAAGTTTTGATTGAAACTGTAATGAATTTAACAGCGTGGTTCCAAAAACCGTTTTCTGCATACATTAATATGGTTGTGTGTTATCTTCTAGAAAAAGTGTAATCTTATTGGGCCTGTGTTTGGTCCAGCTCTGCTTCCTGAAGAAGATTTGTAAGGCAGACAGTGATAAAATCTTGTAAATCATCCGAGTTGCTTTCAGACCTCTCCCTTAAGGTGCTGATGCTGTAGAAGTACCTGCAGCTCTCCATTCCTCGTTTTTAAGGGGGGAATTCTGCTTGTAGAGGTCTCCTGTTGGTTTTGTCCCTAGCTAGCGTAGGATCACAGAAGCACCTTGCAACTCAGTCCGTTGAATTTGTGTCCCTAGACTGCCAGAGTCTGAAAGCATACGTTTTCCTGCTGTTTTACAGGCAAGCAAAAGCTTTCCCCACTCAACTTTGAGCTGGAAACAGTGTAGCTGTGATGAGAACACATGCAGTATTGGCTTATTATCCACACCATGCATGCCACAGGGAGCGTGGTGCAGATGGTGGCTCAGGTTGGGCTCATATGTAGCAGCTCAGAGTATGGGGAGAGTGAATTCTCCATGTGCCTCCAAGGCACTTCCATGCTATTTTCTCAGTTGCTTGCTTTCAGGGACTGCCCTAGGGTGTATTTGAAGTATGCAATAGGTGGCCTAACATGCTGTTCCTTGATTTCTTAAAAGCGTGGTGGTTAATGTCCTAGCACGTTTTATAATCTGCCCTTTGCGTTGATGAGGACTTGCCAGAGCTTGTTTGGAAAACTGGAGATTGAGAGGGATTTTCCTGTATAGCCTCTTCCCTCCCTGCTCTGTGCCTTTCAGCATCCATTTCTGAAGCGTAGTGGCTTGTGGAATTAGGAGAGGTTCTGGATCTCTCCATCTGCCCTGTTGAGAATAATTGCCATATGTGGAAGAGCACGAGTATGGGGCTTTTCTGAATACTCTGTGCTACAAAGATCAAGCTTCTGGAGAAGCAGGCAGGCCTTGGTTTGGTTTTAGTAGGAGTTTTCTTTTTCTTGCTGTTTCTAGACAGACAGCTGTTTGAATTAAGTTGACATGTTTCACTTTCATTGTGGGACGGAGGGGGTAGCGATCAGTAGTTAAGGTTATTTGTCTTTCCTCTTGACTGACAGACATCGTCTAAACGAGATACGCAATGAAAAGTTCCGACTGTATAAATTAAAGATGGTGGCAAAAATAGAGAAGTACCTTATCTCAAATAGCTGCAGGAGGAAGTGAGTATTGTATTTTATTTCGTGTTTTCTGTAGTTTCGGAGTCAGCATTAAGAGCCCTTGTGGCTCAGTCACAACTGAAGGCTTTTTATGTGCAATGTGTTCTGCAAACATGTTCTTCAATTTTTAAAAGCAGTAGCTAGAAATATGGCCTTTAGCATCTTTGTTTATATATGCATCATGTGTTTCTTATTTAGCTTTCAAAAAAGCGAACTTCCTTTCCTTTAGAGGAACGAAGGCCAAATAATTGGCTCCTTGGTGAAATAATTAATGATGCTGATTTTGACTCATTGTTTTTTCTGGAACGAATTTAATGGGTAACTTCTTGTGCTTTTATTTAATTCCCCATGTTCCCTTGCGTAGAATCATCTTGTCTCATTTCGAAGACAAACAACTCAGAAAGGTCTCCTCGGGCATCATGGGCACAGAAGAATGCTGTGATAACTGCAGGACCAGGTAAACATTCTTCCCTGAAGACGGATACGGGAAGTTGGGTTCGCTCAGGCTGACTTACCAGGCAAATGGTCAAAAAAGGTTTGACTTTTTTTATGCACTTCATTTTGCAGATGTTCATTCTGAAGTTTATCTTTGAACAACTGTCTCTGTTAACTTGCTACTCAATAGTTGAACAAGCCAAGAGACAGCTTGTAAGTGCTAAGTTAGGCCGTGGAAAAGCCTGTAAACAAAGTATGGTCCCAGTTCCTAAAATGGTTTAAACGATTCAGAGGAACGTTCTTATACTGTGAAATACACTTTTTTTTCATAGCAATTTGTAAGTCTTTGGCATCAGTTCTTATCAAGCAATTATCTTGAATAATTAATCCCAAAAGAAAACACTTGGAAGTGGGTTGCGCTACCATGTGTCTAAATTTGTATTGCATGAGTGATAAGGGAGCACTTCTCCTGTTATAGTGGGTGCTGACCTATGTTCTTTTTAGCATTACTAGTTGTCTCATAAACGTGCCAAAGGGAAGCAAGGAGATCAGTACTCGGAGTTATGACTAGAAACACCTCCCTCTGCCTCTCGTGCACATACACACACACTTTTGAAATTACAATAAATAGTCTATCTGCACTTGCTGGCAGCATAGTATTTTCTGATTGGAGACAAGAAGTTATGCTGTGTTCTCTGCAGAAAGTGAACCATTTGGCTATGGTTCCCGTATGCTCAGGGATTAAGGCATTTTTGCCCAAGCTCTTTGAAACTAAGATCTCTAAAATAAATTCTGTTCTTTGATAGTTTTCAATCTGCTGGCAGTGATGTTGTGCCAGGAAAGGACCATGTGGTGGATTTGTGCTGCAGATCTGAAATCGCTTGAAACAAATCTCTGTCCTCTCTGTCTTATTCTCCTTTGGGGGGACCTATGTTAATAATTTTTTGGATAGGTTCTTCCTCAAGTCAGTTTTACATGTAATAACAAGCCATAGAAAATCTTTAGTGGGGCTGCTCTTTCCTTTTTTTTTTTCTGTTCTTTGTAGAGAGGAAAAAAAAAAAAAGCCTTTTGGCTATTAGGTGCTATTAAAAAAGTGTGTTAAGTGCTACGAACAGTCCAAAAATTCAAACATTAAATAATGCCAAAGATTTTTTTTTCGGACAACATTGGTTCTGTCAAAGCAAGTACTGTGAAGAACTATTTAGTATTTGGTTGTCCAGCTGTCCTAACTGCATGGGACTCTGGCTTTTGCTTGGTCTCACTTTCAGACTTAGATCTTTGCTTTTAAAAGTCTATTTAATTGCTTGTATGAATGGAACTTGCAAAGTGTGTGTTTTGCTTAGTGATCATGCACTAAACAAAAAAGAGGGGCAGGGGACTTGACTTGAATGTAATTCATCTTAGTTTTCTTTGTTTCAGAACCTCTCGTTTTGCAACTTGCAGTGACTCGGAAGGAATTTTACAGGACTTTGGAAAGCAAGCCTACCAGCTGATGTCTGCAGTGACTGCCCTGGATGAGAAGTTTGGAACTAAAGCCCCCATTTTGCTTCTCCGAGGGTCTGTAAGTGACACTGAAAATCCTTGTGTTTGGAGAGTGGAGGGACGGCTATGGTGTCCTGCCCTCTTTCCTGGTGTTCTAAAAATACATCAATGTATCTTTCAGTACCTTTTCCTTAGAGAGCTAGATCTCTGTAGAGAGAGGTAGGATAGACTTTCAGAAGGTGCTCAGCAGTGCTCCCCTTGCACTTCACTAGTCGGTTTTGTGTTTAAATGCAACAGGAATAAAAATATTTCCTAAGCATGTTTACTTGACTGTGTGCAAGTACAACAAAGGAACAGTTTCTGCCTCCAAGATCTTCCTGTCACACCTCCCTTTTTTCTAAAGGTGCAGCAGTGAGCCCTTCATGGTGCAAGAGCTCTGCTCAGAATTAGGATCTGGCACTTGCCTTGTGGGGACACACAAGAGGACAAGCCAGGTATTGGCAGAGGTTCTGAGGCTCTTCCTATAAACCTTGAGCTTAGGTATCTTCTATAGTGAATTGGATGTTTTTACAGAGATGGTTAAGTTGCTTCTCCATGATTTCCGTTATCCTGAAAGGAGTAGTGGTTTCCTAGTTAAGAACAAACACATCTTTTTGTGATAAACTGCTGGTTTATGAATAAAGCAGATTATTTTGTGTTCTACTCTCGTACTGCTGACCTGCTTGGGGTTGTGAGATGGGAAATAGAATATTAGAATGAATATAAATATGAATATAAATGGTTTATACACACCTTCAAATACAAAGCTTTTTAAACAGTAGGGGAGAAACTGACCAGAAGGAACATGGGCATAGTAACAAAATTGCTTCAAATATGTTTTCAGCCTGGAAAAAATTACCTGCAGTTCTTGATTAAAAGTGACCGAATGCTACCATCCTTTTTTTCCCTTTTATTAAGAAAATAACTTGTTAACTTATCACAAGTGTGTGTAGGAAAAAAAACGGTTACAAATTTTAAAGTAGTCTGGATGGTTAAAGTGCTAGACATTACTGGGAAAACTGAAGAGCATGTCAAATTTGGAATGCGAATAACTAAAAATTGCTGTTTCCCTCAAGTACTGGCTAACATACTCGTAAACAGGTTTTTTTGTTTGCTTTGTTGAATCACTTTGGGCATCTTCTAGAAAAAATATGGTGCCACTTACGGGATAGTGCATAAGTTTTGCTTGTTATATCTGCCTGAACATGACTGCTGTATTGCTTGAAAAGTTTGTGTACAGTTTATGGAAAACTAGATGGTCTTTTTTTAACTTCAAGAGTATCTTTTTAACAACAAATAAGTCCAGGTGGCCTCCAGCAGTCTTCAGGTAGACCACAGGAGAGATGAGATTTCCCTTATTATTTGAAAGCTGAGTCACACCACGGAAGCCAACAAGGTCCCCTGGGAAACTCTGCATTAAAGAGTTGCTTGACTGAAATTTTATACCAATGCTTTTTTTTTTTTTTTAAAGCAACTTCTAAAACATGATCATCTTTTACCAGCCAGCGCTCTTTGCTTCGATCCCTTGCTGTTAAAAGTCAGAAACAAGCTCCTCTTCCTGCTCTTCTCCCTTTGTGTGCTGGAGAGGAGTTCTCTCCCTGGCTCTCCGAACTTCTCCTCTTAAACGCTCTTTACTGTGATTCCTGGAGACATTAGGGAGACCAGTAGCCCACCATGTGCTGAGCACTGCATTCTCTGTGCTTTTCTTGTACTTGGCTTTTATTTGGCTTCCTTGCTCCTCTGTATCGGCTACCACTCCACTGTCTCCTGTGGTTCAGCATTATAGTTGTTAGTCAAAAACGCCTTTGTTACAACCACCCCCAGGGTATGCCCTTACTGAACCTGCATCACAGATGCACGAATGCAGATACTCTGCATTGGGTGCAAAGTCGCCATGTTCACCATCAGAGCCGTGAGGCCTTCCTATGCGGCTTGGGACTGTCAGCTTCATGAACTGCAACAGTGAGAATTACTGAAACGGTTTACCTTAATAACTAATGTAAGGCTTTAATGCTCTATGTCATGGAAAAAAGGCATCATCTTTTCCGGTGCCTGGCACATGCTGATACTTTTCTCTGTGCGAGAACTTTTCTTTCAGTCCTTAAGGGAGACCTCCAGGCAGGGAGTAGAGGAAGATGACCATAAACCATTTTCACTTCTCCCTGCCCCTCCCCCCAATATAGCTATAAAAATATTTATTTTATATATTTGCATGTGTGTACACATGCACGCGCCCTCTCCCTCTCTGTGTGTGTTTTTTGTTTTTATTTTTGCCTGCTGTTGATTTCCATAGTGGAAGAAAGGTATTCAGCAAGTCCCCAAATAACAGGGGCTGTCTGGATCCTGAGTTCAGGGGACAACGATCCATCAGGCAGTTACCAATCAGTTTTCTTCTGCTCTGAATCATTGGTAAGAGACTAATAAACCAGTGACGTAAACACACCCCTTACTGAGTTTGAAATAGAAAGATTTAAACTCTGAAACAGGCAGCCAACTAGAGGAGGAAGAGCAGAGGCAACATGTGCTGTGAGCCCGCTCTGCCCACGAGCAGGCTCACAGCACTGGGTCAGTGCTGGAGAAGAGGTGCTCCGCAGGGTGGCTAGAGCACAGCTCCCATCTGGGGTGGGGCTGGCTGGCCTTTTCTCCCATGGCTTGGCACCCCATCCCATCCTGTGACTTAAGCAATACCTGTAGATTTTTTTTTTTTTATCCCTAGGCTCTTGTTAACTGAGGAAAACAGAGGTAAATGCTTGTTTGAATTTGTGTAGCGTGAGTTTGATTACTCCGGCATGGATAAATGTGAACTGCACTAGGTTATTTTTTCTTTGCTGCCATTGATGGCTGGGTCATTTTTGTAACCTTCCCCATGTGCAAAGGGAGGTGTTTAACAGCTCTGTGACCTCCGTGCAGCTTTATCCTGGGCCTTACTACAAAAGAAAATCACTGGTCGTGGTCTCTTGACTGCCTTGGCGGGAAGTCCAGGAGTAGATGAGGTTAGCAGAGGTGCAGCTGCTGTTCAGGTGACATGAACAAGGACATAGTTTTATCATCTCATTGTTCAGCTGTTGTAAGTGGGGTAACTTGAATGGGTAGTACGGAAGTTCAAATAAAAAGCTTTGATTTGTGGTTTTACAGAAACTGTAGAGAATTTGCGAGAGTAGAGAATTACAGAACTGTAGAGAAATGCTCTTGGAGATGTGCTCCTTCTCTCTCAGGTTTTTGGTTCACCGGTTACAACTGGCATTTTTTTTCCTTCCCACAAGAACTGGAGAGGTCTAACTGGTTCTTCTGATGATTTCAGAATTCTCAGCGCTTGCCAGACAGATACCGAAGACATGCTCTTTTTGGCAGTGGAAAAGACTGGCCAGAGAACTGGTGGAAATCACTGGCCCAACAGCTGATAAATGAGGGATTTCTCAGAGAAGCCTCTGGGCATAGCAAGTTTACAACTATATGTGCGCTTACTCAGAAGGTAATTTTTGGTGGAAAACAATCCTGTCTGAGACTCTTCTGAGCAATCCATAGCTAAACCGTATGGTGTGTTTCTTACAGGGTAGAAACTGGCTTTTAAAAGCTGGATCTGCCTCAAGTCCGAGCCTTCTCTTACAGTCTAGTGAAGACCTAAATGTAAGGAAACCACCTAGAAGGTAATGCATGTTTTCTTGAGTGCTTTTATATTATTTCAACATCAGACAAGCTGTTTCTTAAGATTGCTTCTGGAGATACCTAGATTGGACAGGAGATTTCTACACTAGACTTCCCAGCCAAACTTTTCCCTTTGGCAGTTTCAAGGTACAAAAAATCAGCAGGAGTGCTGGGATAGACAACGTTATCTAACTGCTGATATAAAAGGTAATACATTGTCTAGCGCTCCTGAAAGTGCGTGCAGCGGCTTAAAAGCTGACAGTGCCTCATCACTGAGGTCTTCAGTGCAGCTAATCAAAAGGTAGCATAACTGGGAAGCCCTCTGAGGGAAAAGGTAATTCACAGATATCCTTCTGGTCTGCCCAACCAAAGCTATTCAGAACATGGAATTTCTTCATCTTGAATAAATATGAGTAGATAGGAAGCATGTTCTAGAAACCCTTTCTGATGGGGAAAGTAGTTGGCTAAAGACAAAAAAACCCCAAAACTGTTAAAGTTTACCTTCTTTCTAATGCTGATATGTTACGCCACGAGTCTTTCATGTTGGAACTAGAGCAGTTATCAGCTTGTTTTCTCAATTATGCGCTTGACCCACCTTATCTTACAACGCAAGCTAAGCAGTGAAGCAGAAAAGCCAGGTACTACATGCTTGTGTTGTAACAAGAATTTTCAATGTAAATATCTAATATGTTTATCTTGTATTTATTTCAATTATTTAAAGTCTTGGTGAGTGTAGCTGCAAAAAGGAGTTGTTTCTATGCCAGTGGTCCCAGGTGTTTGCTGCAGAGTATATTGCTGCAACACTACAGCTTGTGAAACTTTGCTCGTAATCTTTCACTTCCAGTTACACTTAATAAACAGCAATTTTACTGTGCTGTTGGTTTTCACAAATAACAATTCTGGCCAACTCTTCTGAGGTGCAGAATAATGAACCAGAAGTTGCAGCAACTGTGCTGTCGCCACAAATAACTTTAGAACTTAGTTCTTCAATGGTGACCTTTTGGGTATCTAGACTGTTGTTAACAGGTTTTTATCACTTTTTTTAGCAACACCAGGAGACAATGTCAGTTTTCTTTTTTCTGTAATTCTACATTTCTGTAGCTTTTTTTTAGCAACTGTCTATGGGTCCGCTAAAAGAAGACCAACTTTTGTTTGTTCAAAAACAGTAAGAAGCAGTGACAGCTGTGTGGTTAGTGTACAGCATAAAGCTGGTACTGATTTGTTTTCCTCAAGAAATGGGATCTTAAAAGTAGCATCTTTTTCTTAGACAATGTTGTCAAAAAAAATCAGTTTCTGTCTTACAGAACACGAGGATTTTGATGACTAGACTCTTTTTCCTGGTAAAAAGTTTCAGTAGTTCTAGCAGGCCTTCATCTTTGAGGTCCTCAATGTTTCCCTAAAGAATGGAGGTCTTAATATTTTTAAGAAAACCAATAAGAATTTGTTGTGGATTTTTTTCTAAAAATATCCCTATACAAAGTTCAGTTTGGTTTGCTTAGCCACGTAATTCTTTTTAAGTGGCAGCCTCACTGTACGAATGATCGTCTGTCTGATTCCAGTAAGATTGAATTCGTTTTCTTACTGCAGTAGACCTGCACCTGTGGTCTCTGAACAGCGCTCCCCAGATGGGAAAGTAACAAAGCTTTCACCAGTCAAACAGGTCCGTATGAGTACAACTCTTCTTGCGTTCTGTTGTCAATCGTTTTGCTTTAAAAGTTTTAACTATATCATGGTCTCGCAAATTAATGTTGTGCTGCTTATATCAGCTGCATTGCAAAGACTGTTAAATCAGCATTTGTTTGTCTTGTAGATGTCTTTGTATGAAATGTTTTCTACCGAGAGAAAAGGTAAAATTTCTACAGGAAGCAATGAGACACTTAACAGGTACGGTATTCTAAATTCAAATGGTTAGCAATGGTTTAACTATTTAATAGGGATACTGTTTGTAATATGACCCTTGAAATAGTATTCTTCAAAGCGACCATAATAAAATAGATCTGCTTATGATTAGAAGTTACTGATATTTTAAAAAGTTTTAAAAACTTTTTAATGTGCCATGTTATGTGCCAACATGTTGAATTACTACATTTAACAGGCTTTGCAGAATTTTGCAAGCTGCATTAAACTTCAATATATTCCTAGTGTGTCACAGGCAAAGCAAGTTTTATTCACCACTGCAGTGGTGGAAACATTCTCACTGGTAGCACTTCAGGTCCACTAGCCCCCCCAAAAAAAAAGTTAATAAAGAGGGGGGTATAGCAACTTCTTTTAAATTGGGTACTTTTTACTGGTCCCTGTATTTTCAGTTGTTGTAGTCTTCGGTAGTAGTTTAAGTTGTCATGGATTTTAAGTTGTGCTGACTTAAAATCAGAAACAGAATAATTGTTTTCGAACAATTTCCAAATATAATGCATGTGCCTGACTTCTAAAAGCGGCAGAATGGCAGAACTGAATGTATACTTTGTGCAGTGACCGTAGTGAGCGTGTAGGTATGGGTTTCTGCCTTTTTACGCTAGTCTGACTGAAAAGAAGTTGAGGCTCACTGAGGTCAAAGGAAATAAAACAAGCTTCTGCAAAAAGCAGGCCAAAAAACTTGTTTTCCTGGCTTGTGTGATGCTTCAGATTAAACTCACTTTACGTTTTTGAACAGTTGTATTGCTCCTTCAGGCAAGCAGCCTGATGCTGGCAGAAGACTGGAAAATAGGATATGTCATTTAAGCTGAATAATTACCACTGCAGCTGTACAGGGAAAGATCATTTTAGGGACAACATTCCAAAGCAAGTGTTATTTCACACTTGGCTTAGCAAAGCAAGGAAAGGGCGCTCTTTTTCTAGCTTGTCTACTTGCAGTATCGCAATACAACAATAATAGCATAATTACAGAGGTAAATTTCCCTAAGAATAGGAGCCTATAGGCTGGTTGCTGTGACACTGGTCTCTATGCAGATGTGCCTAGCACTAACAGCTAATTCTGCTTACAGCACAGCAGCTGTGTCCTTGTCACTGATACTTTTAAACTTATTAGATCTGTTTGGCCAGGATCAACGTTGTCAGCAATGGGGGAAAAATGCAAGATTTTCCTTGTGGAATGCTGTTAGAATAATATTATGAATGGACAAGCACTTATAAAAACATAGCTTTGTTAACAACAAGTGAATCCAGCTATAGGTAAGGATAGAGGTTCTTAGTTCACAAAACTGCAGCTTTCATCACTTGCTTGAGCTCTGTACAATAAAAGGTTATTTTTAAGGTATAGGATCAGCTTCAGGGGATACCTGTTAGATTTTGCTTTGAGACTCCTGTCTGCAAAGAAACAAAGGACAAAAGCGACAGTTTCTTAGTAGCTGTCATGGAAAAGAGTAATGATGCTACAAAAATGCTAACAGTGGGCAATGTCGTGATCCACTAGGCGAATTAGCCTAAAGCTAATGCTGCCTTGATAGGCTTAAGTCCTGTGCCAGCGCTCCTGCTAGCATGAGGTGCCATGTCACCAGGCAGGAGGCAAAAGAATAAGTTAGGTTGCTGCTCTCCCCCGGCCTTGTGCAGAGTACGTGAATCAATTGGTGCAACACAAGTGCTGACCTTATACTTCTTTATTTTTCATCAGTGTCCCCGTGTGCTCACCAGTCAAATCTTTTCCTTCAAAGTCCGTAGAACCTGATGTTTCATCTCGAGAAAAAGAACTACAGGTAAGTCTGAAAGGGGAAGGATATCTGTGAATTGCAGATATCTGCTGTACTGGAGCAGCTGGGCTGGGCGGCTCTTAATGTTGGAAAAGGTTTTGAACAGAAGTTCCAGGAGAGAATTTAAATGTGTTAAGATTGTTAATGGGTTGCAGTACTTGTTGTTGTATATTTGAGGAAAGATGAGGGAAGCTATAGTTTTTCCTCTCATATTTTAGTTATTTTGATGTGCTTGATCTAAAGCTACTTCAAAAGAATTTGGCTTTCTTCTTCACAGACTGCCCTGTATGGCAAGTTGTTGATGGCTAGACAGAAGCTAGCTAATGAGAAGTTAATTCCTCCAGCTGTCTTGGCAACCAATAAGGTCCTGGTGGAGATGGCCCAGATAAGGTGAGGTCTGCATGCGTGTTATGTAAATGCGAAAGACTGCAAGCCAAATGAGTAAAATAAAATCAAGCTAGCATGCAACTTCTCCAGTGTCAGTGGCTTGGAGAATTGTGTTCCCATATACGCTTCTAGTTCAGTCATTTTTTTAATCGCAGTAGAGAGGTTAGCAGATTTCCAGTTTGTTAAAGAACCTAGTGCTACCAAAAGAATGAATTAAGAATAGAGTGCATCTGCTATGTGTCTCTGAGCTTGGGTATGTCGCAAATCTGTCTGGGCAGTTCTCTTGTTATTGGAAAGCTTCTCTGTTCCATGCTACTACCCCCATTTAACAGGCCTGAGGAGCAGTGAGATTTTGCACACTAATAATAGTAGAGCTGACATGACTCCTTTCAGTGTGTGAACTACTCGGGTATGGGTATTTCTGCTTATGGAGTATCTTCAGTCAAACTTTGCGTTCCTTTGCTGCTGCCTGATAAAGTCTGTTCACTGACTTGTGCTTTGAAACTCGGGACTCCCCTTTCTGATCTTGTTGGGAGAGCATGCCTCATTGGTAGAGCAGCAGCTCTTTTCCTGAGGCTCTTCCTTTACTGTAATACCCTTATAGACTGCTCACCTGTGCAAGTTTGATGGCATTACTGACATCAGACTTGCCTCTTCATTGTAGCTTTTGTTTCAAAAATGCCTACTTTGCACATGCTGTTGTAGCCAGACCTCCTGTCAGCTTGCCCAGTCAGAGGGGGAAAGATGATGTACCGTGCCGATTCTTACCTTTCCCACTTCCTCTCTGATATATTTTTTTTTGAATCGGTTTACTATGTTCTTATCCTGATAAGGTTTAAAAGAGCTACAGGTCAAGAGCTGTTCCCTACATATCCATGGGTAGTTCTGTAGCATAAATGAATAAGCACAGGTTAGTGTTGCTCTCACAGCTATCAAAAGGAAACGAACAAAAAATATTCCTTTGGTTCTCCCATTATAAGACTGGGTATTGTAGGGCGGCTCAGTCTGTAATGCATCGGAAGTGCCTTCCCCAGCTCCTAAAGTATGTTAAATAACTGTTTTGGGAGTGTCTCTCTTATTATTCCATGTAAGATCTCTGGTCTTACACACTCTTGGAAGGAAAGAGCAAATAAAGACTTGTGTGTTAAGCAGCAAATTCAAGGTGTTTGCTGTGGCCAAGCTTCAGGACACAGAAATGCGAACAGTAGACTTCGTTATTAGTTGCAAAGATGATAAAAGTACAGTAATGCTACTTTACTTGCCAAAGTGCATGTTGTCATTCACAGATGCTTGATGTTCCAAAGCATCAGCTTAGGAAGTTCCCACTGATTTTTATTGTTCACCCTGAACCAGGCCTACGACTGTTGAGAATGTGAAGAGAATTGATGGTGTATCCGAAGCAAAATCTACCATGTTGGCTCCTCTCCTGGCTGAAATTAAGGAGTTTTGCCAAGTGAATAATTTGCAGGTAGGATTTAGCCAAGTGCCTGCTACCATGCAAGAGCCTTAAAGAACTAATTTGGTCCGCAGCTGTCAGATTTCTCCTTCAGAGTTTGTCTTTATCACAGTTGTGCCATCCAGGCAGGGCAGCTAACCTACGTTAGCCTTGCCTGTGAATATATTTCCCAAATTGGAGCATGCTACTTGGCACTCTTAGCTCCTGCTTAAGCTGACCTCCATGGTGGTATCGGTCCTGAAGGACCACGGTGAGGCATTTGGCATAGGCATGACAATCAGACCTGGCTGATGTTCTGGACTGCTGTTGTCATCCTCAAAGTCTACAATATCGTTACAAAAGCTGCCCTTCTAGCCTGGGTGGTACCCAGTAGGTGCCATGTTACCTAGACCCTGTAGCTAAACATCCTGATTTGAGGACGGATGGATGGAGACTAAATAGATAGGGTGTGTAGCCTCACCATGGTTTATTGTTTCAGAAGATTTGGAGGGCAGGACTCATCTTTGCTTTCCCTAAGTTGTTATTTGGGAGTCCTGCAGAACGGCTTTGATTTCTGGCTATTGTGAACGCTTTGAGTTGGCTCTTTTCATAGTTGATTTGCTTCTGTCCATTCTAGTCTGTAGAGTGGCACCTCTTACTGTGCCTTCCTCATTGGTCACTATGGCAAGAGATGGCACCAGCGGAGATGGTAATGGAGCAGAGTGTGGGAGGAACTACAGAGCAGTTTCCCTTTGGGGTTTTAATTCTTCTGTACATCTAGAGTTAGCAGGATTTCTGCTAGTCCAGACCAGCAGACAGATTTATGAAAGCAGGTAGAGCAGTATCACTAATTCTCCTCAATGCTTGAGAACAACACGTTTAACGTTGTTAGGAGTTTTCTGCTTCGCAGATCAAGCTGTTAGGACTGAGGTAAGGAGACCAAAAGCATTTCTGTATTTAAAGAAATCTGTGCGTGTATGTGTGTGTTAGGCATAAGTTTTAAAAATAGAAAATAAATGGGAGGAATTTCCCATACAAAACAGCAGACTACCACGATTCTGATGAAATAGTTGCACGTATGTATGTAAAGAGTACCAACTAAAAAGTCTTGTCTTGATCTGGATCCTGGTTTGGGGGCGGTTTCTGCAAGTCCCTTGGACAATCCCATGGTTGTTTTATTAAGGCGGGTATATGTAGATGTCCATCCTGTTTCCTCCTTTTGTTTCTTCTTTGCGGAACATGGAGTGATAAACCCAACTTTCTCAAAGATAAATGACTCCATTTCTGTTACTTCTTCAGATTGTATAGGGGAGGCTGACCCATTGGTTATTACTGGGATATACTCCTTCTTTATATCATTTAGATGGATGCATTCCCTTTGTCTGGATCTAGAGACCAGAAAGAAACAACTCCCTGGAAGCGTGCTGGAACCCTCTCTCCATCTGAGCATGTCACGTATGTCCTGTTCCAAGAGAAGAATCTCTCCTTGGTATGTTCTTCCCCGTGGAGGTCTCTTCCCTGTTTAAAACTAACAGCAGGGATATTGTGTCTAGCAGGCAGGGGACTTGCAAGTTTGTTCTCTCAAATCCTCTGCACAGTGCTGGAGAGGGTTGCTTTAAAGCACTGAAGCTGTATCTTCCCTGGCAAATAATAGCCCATCTAACTCATCTGTACTGACCACAAGTATGAAGAACTGGTCTTGCTGTGAACTAGGCTGCAGCAAGATGGTACCCAGCCCCCTACTCATTAGAGCGCCTGCAGAGATTGGCATGGCATCAATTAGAGACAGGAAACTCCTATCCCCTTTGCCTGCGCCATCTCCACGCATAAGACTTGAATGTTGAGAAATGAATCTCATAGGGAGATTGAGTGCAAAACTAAAAGGCGAAGTATTAATGCAGCTTTCCAGTTCAGATTTTGAAAGCGGTTTCTTTTTGTGAAAAAAGCTGAGGTAAAGTTACCTGTCACATCGGAGTTAAACGTTTAAGTGTTGCAGGGCATGTGACTAAACTGGCATTGTGCCATGTCCTCAGTGGCACTGAAGATGAGCCTCATGAGCTGCTTGTATACAGTTTTTTTTATTTATTGCTTTTTAATTCTGCAACAGGAAACTGAAGTTGCTTCAAGTTTTGCTTTGTGCCTCCCAAGAGTATGGGTAAACCCTGTCAGATAGTCACTAAAATAAAGTGCATCTAAGCACTAATTAACAAAAAGCAATTGTATAGTTATTAGTTGGTAGCTTGATGCTCTCTATCTACTAACCCTGATTGTTATATGCACAGGATGTGTATTGTCTGGGGGAGAAGTCAGTAGAAACATGAAAGCTGTCCTTCCAAAGAAGGAAAGTTAATCAGTTTGAAATCTGTCCTTGAAAAAGTTAAAATTTAGGTACCACAAGTCTGAGATGCTTTTCTTCAAGGCAAATATCTTGAGGCAATTTTTTTTTTTTTTAAACAAATGTGAAATTGAACAGGTATGAATTTGTTTTGGCACAATTAGCCATGTCCTGAGTCAAACAGGCCCCTGGAAGGTCAGGTGTAGCTGAATGACTACTTAGCAGGAGCTATCTGAGGCTTTAACAAAGAAATACTTCACAAAGTAGAAGCTGGGTTAATGCTCTAACTTACCAGGTGAAAGTGCTCATTTCCTTTGTGGTAAAAACTGTTCTGTTGTGGGATTTAGCTGCCACATAGTGGAATGAGGATGATGGTGACAATCTCAGAGCACAAGGAATGCGAGATATAAACAGGCCACAGGAGTGAGTGAGGTTAAACCACAAGGATACAAGAAGAGAATATCTAAGAACGTGTCCTGGACACCCTGGTAGAGAAGAGGAGACAAGACTAGCTGTGAGACCAAGGTTAAAAGCTTAAGGGTTCTGAGCCTTAGAGGTGGTCACACACAACCCTTCTTGTGTAGAACCCCCTTAATTCAGAAACATCTGAATTAAGCTCAAGGTGAGGCACTGCACTCAAGCTAAAGAAACAATAGCCTCAAGAGAAAAATGTTCTTTACAAGTTGGAAAACAAATCGGAGATATTGGGTGAAACAAAGTGCCCTGGGTTTTCTGTTGTGCTGACAAGTGCCTGGTTGCTTTCTGAGAATGAGAACTTGCCAGGCTTTGGGCCTTTAGTTCTATTTTAGACACTTTTGTCACCTTAACTCCTTCTGTCGTTGTTTCCCCAGCGGACTATAAGTGAGAGCAGATCTCTTCCTCTTTCTGAGGTTGGCAATCACCTATGCCGGGCAATGAAAGCTGGCTACCCTGTCAACCTGGAACGAGCAGGTTTGACTCCAGAAGTTCAACAGATGGTTTCTGATGTTATCCGTAATCCTCCCATTGACTCAGGTGAGAATCACAGCCCTAATGTGAAGCTTCTAATGATAGTAGCATACAGATGAAGAGAATGGAAAAAAACTGACAACTCTGCTGCTCCTTTAGGTAGAACCCCTCATTTGGAAGGCCTGTGGCAATATCGAGGCAGAGCACAGCAATGCCAAGGGGACCTCCTGTTCTTTCAAGACAATGTTGACTCATTAAAGAGCAAAGCAGGGTAGCCCTCTACAAACCCTTCCTCAACTCTGTAGCTGTTGAAAAGCTCCAGGCATCATTCTTTAATTAATTCCATATTTACACAACTTTAGAGCAGGCAAGTTGAAGTCAGCCTGGCAACATGTCTCTGGCATCTGCAAACAATATGCTGATTAAGAGCTGTAGAATTTCTCCAAAAAACTTATCTGGAAGTTATTTGCTTGTGATGAGGTTGAATCAGTGCAGGAAAAGAGTTTTCAATATTAACACAGTGATCTGGCACCCTAGGCTAGTTTAAGGGCTGAAGACAAATCTATGCTGACTTCTGGCTCTGAGGATGGAGTGACTTGGAGTTCAGTTTTGCCCCAGGAGCTTAATTACTTTGGCTTCCTGAGTTTTTTGACTTCCTAGCTTCCATACTCCTGTCAGATGGCAAACTAACTGATGCATCTTTTCAGCAGCAGCTATTGGCCCAGCTAGACTTTGTTTGCTTAAACTTAATGCCGTGCAAGCTCCCCATTCCAGCATGGGAGAAGATGAGGACTCTTCAGCCTGAACTAATATAGTCTGCCTCTCAAGAGAACGTGATTGATACTGAGGTGCAACTTAGAGGCAGATGATTATAATACTTCTAGACTATATGTAAGGACAGTAGGATTGTGTGAATATGAATGAGTTGGGAATTTACCCCATGAGCTTATGGGCCCAAGTCACGTACTGTGTTTTGTTTCTTAACCTTTTCCATGCCTTAATCTATGCTATACTTTAATGAGGGACAACAACTCTATCTTACAGCAGAGAAGCACTGTGAATAAAGGGCAGGGGGTTTTAAAAATAATAATCTATATTGTATTTATATTTTTTTCCAAGACACAGCCAAAATTCAAGCAATTAGAAAGCTGGTTCCTGCAGCTGTTGAAACGTATCTCATCAGGATGACTATCGCAGTATTGGAGAAAGAGGATGGAAGTAGGCCTCAGGATGGTTCAGACAACAAAAGGACACTGGCAGGGTCAGGCAGGCAGCAAGAAAAAACGGGAGCACATGAAGCAAATGGGGAAAACACTTTGGGGACTGAAACAAAGGTTGGTAAGAGAAGTTACAGAACTGCTTTTGTAAAAAAGCATGTTCTGCCTTTGTACGAGCAGGCTGAAAGCACTGTATGTTGCTGGCATTTGCAGAAGAGGTTTTTAGCGTTTCCATCTTCCTGTTCCACTTTGTCCTGCACGTCTGAGCAAGACTGCCTCACTTCCTTCTGTGAGAGCAAACCTCAGGCCAGAACCAGAGGGTTCCCCTTGCAAACTACTGACCTAGGAAGATGGCAGATGCTGCCCCTATGCAGCCCAGCTGCAGTCTGCTTAGTATGTCACTTGGGCTGAGCTGTTCCTCTCTGGGACTCTCAGCTCATGTGCAGCTCACGTGGGCCATGGTCATGCAGTCCAGAAAGGATCCAGAAACTTAGTGGTCTGCTGCCTTAGAGCATCATAACTGCAGCTTAATAGTGACCCCAGAGAGTAGGGACGAACACTTCCCGCTGTCCTCCAGGCCTTCAGGAAGTAGATGTGAAAAGTCCCCTGTCAAAATCTAGGATCTATAGTAGCTGGGAAAAAGTAGCTGGAGGAAAAAGTAGAAATCTGAAGTTCTTCCCCAGTATGAAAGCATGGACCATTTGTAGCTGCAAAGTCCAAGTTCTGTCCTCACCTCACTTCAATGCATTGGTACCTTATGTGGGAAAAGTGATCGCCTTTCTGCCCAGAAAGTCTTAAGACTCCAGGAGAGCTGAGAAGGTGAGAAAGCCAGTGGCGATGCCTGCCAGGATTGTCTGGCAAGCTGTAATCGCAACCGAAAGCACCGTGCTGTAAGTCCGAGTCACTGAGAGGAAATCTCTCTTCAGAGCAGGGAATAAGGAGCTCTTACTTGCTGTTTGAGAAAGGGTAGGTTAGCTTTCTGAGCCTCAAGCTGGCCTCTGAATATCCCACCCATCTCCCAAGTCCTAGCTCAGCACTTCCATCATGAGTCGCTCAGTGCAGGGTAGCCTTTTGAATGGACTATTGAAAATAAATTCCAAACTGAATCTTTTTGCTGCCTGCGCTAGGATTTAATGTCTGTTATTTACAGGAGTTTTAGTGTGTTTTTCAGCTCTGGTTCAAATAATTTTTTTTCAAGCCTTGCTATTTCACCAAATTGATGGATTTTCTTGCCTTCCTAATCCCTTTTTTGGTTTCATAATATCCATGTCTGAGCTTTCTTCTTCCTGAAGTTGATCCCCTGGCAGCTCAATTGCTTGAGCTATGATTGCACTTCTATATATTTTTTTTTTGTTATGGTTAGCTACTGCAGCTAATAACAGGAATGATACACTATTAGAAGTCAAATTAATATTATAAGAATGAGTAGACTGGGAATCCAAAAGCTAATTAAAATCGTCTTCTGAAAGAGATGAAAGTCAATGAAGATATCCTTGTTCCAATAACTCCCTGTAGGAAACAGCCTTGAAAATCGCTAACGAATGTTCTCGGATTTTAACAACTTTACTTACTGCTGCTTTTACAGAGTAATTCTGTCAAGCCTACGCAGAAGGAAGGAGTTGAAAAAAACCATCCGCAAGTGGTGCCCTCAGCTTCGGTAAATAGGTGTTCTTCCTGTAACAACACATGCAATAGACTTTCCCATTAGCAGTGCTTTAAGAAAGACAGAGATGTACAGTTGATCTACAGTCTCAGCTTTGGTTGTTCTGAAAAGCTGAGGATTTGAAACTTCACTCCATTGCACACTAGACAAAAGGTGTTATATAAGAGCTTAGGAAAGTGAATGCATCTGTGCCTGCTACTCCTTTTTTTTAACTAACCCCCTTTGCTGGAAAAATGCAATCGAAATCAGCGCTTCTGAATCAGAAGCAAGTATTTCAAAGTTCTCAGAGCCACTGGGATGGATGAAGTGTCCTCTACTACAAAAGGTACTCAAGTACAAGTTCCAGTTCCCTTGTTTAAGAAATAAATGCATCTCGTGTGCTCATGTCTTATTGGGTGAAATGGGTAAGAAATACTAGTGATCTCATGAAGTGGAGGTGTTGGATCTCCTTTTACAACTACAGACTAATTTGCTTTAAAAATAACTTTCCCTTTAATTTAGTTAGTTGTTCATATCTCAGCCTTAAAGCAGATTTATGTTTATCACTGCATTATTACTCTCTTATGGAAAGTCTGTACAAAGCATGGATGGCAACTAACCTGGTAATAGTAAAGGAGGTGCAGCAGAGCAGGCTGTCAGATGTCCATCACGTTGGCCTCCTGGAAACAGTCTGCCCTCAATCTGGATGAGGAGGAGCTGTTTGCTGACTGCCAGCCAAAAGTGAGATTGCCTGTAGCTCTGTGCTAAGAACAGAGTGCAGTCCTGTGATTCGGATCTTAAACCAAAATCCCAGCTTATATTTTGGTTCTTTCCTGTACCCAGAAACCTTGAGAGAAAGGCCTGGTGTGAATTTGCAAAGCAACTTCTTCTGTTAATATGCTTAATGTAAAGACAGCATGCCCCTTTCTGTTGCTGTTGCTTGTGCCTGAATATACTGCTTGTACAGCAGCAGTTCAGTTCAGAAAATTTTTCCCTCAGTAGATCTTGCCAGCCCTCTAGTGGCAGAGGTTTCCAACGTTTAGAGAGAACATTTTGCTAGTTTTCTTCTTTCACATCGGTGGAGTGAGATTGCACGTTGACCGCATTAAGGATTTTTGCACTGGTCTTGTATACAAAGAAAATCCCATAAGCATGTATGTTGTGCTTGTCGGAAAGGAGCTTGGATTGCTCTGAGCAGCACCACTCCTGGTACAACTTGCCTTGACTCCCAGTTTGAGGCTGGGTTACTGATGTGAGTGCAAAACCTGATGCAGACAAACCATCATGCAGTCTGGCCGGTTTATCAACAGACATCCCTGAGGGAAGATAAGTCTGTAATTCTTTGAACAGCACAGGAGCTATTCGATTTGAACCACTACTCATATCAGATCATCCATGTTGAGCTCTGTGTTATTGAATCCACTGATACTTTCCTGGGTCACAGACCTCAGCCCAGGCAATTACTTTGCTCTGTGGCTATTGAATTGCGAAAGTTGAGTACTAGAACACAAGGCCTTCTCAGCAAGCTCAATCGAATTTAACTCCTGCAAATCTTTGCTTATTCATCTGGTGGTCATAGCTTGAAAGAGCATCCAGAACATCTGTTCTGAGTTGAGCCCCTTTGTTCTGAACTGGGAACAAAGTGTTGTTTGGCGTGTTGGTCTGTGTATGCCTCCTGCTTCGACCTAAGCTTTGGCTGGGAGCCCTCATGCACACACCTCTGCAGCAGGGACTGTCTCAACCTCTCCCAGCTTGAGATCAGGCCTCCTGTTGTGTTACCGTACGGTAGCTTGCCAGCAGTCTTTTTCGTCTCAGCCTGAGGAAGGATAGGCTTCAGCAGCATGGAGTTGTGTTGTTTAAACATGGATGGCTGAAGGACTAACAAAAATTTACCTACTGCCTGTAAGCTCTTCATGGAATGAAAGGCTTTTTATTGCCACAATATCTGTTCCAACCACAGTGAAAACAATAGATGCAGTCCTAGAGAACGTGGTATGTTCAGGCTCTCCTTAGGGGATATACGCTATCCATGGGTTTGCCTGGGCTGCTTATGTTCGTAGAGAGAGGGATAGAAAAGTATCTCTCAGAGGCAGTTACAGGCACTCACAGCTTCCTCTGTGGGTTTCAGTTGAGTGTCCAAGTTGCTCCTCCCCCAGAATATGTCATCTTTTAGGTTATGTTCAGTATCTGCTGTTCTCTTCTCTGGCAGTTTGTGGCCATTCTTTTGTTCTTTTGGCAATTCCTGAATGTTTCAATAACAACTTTAAAAAGTATGCCAGTGAGCTTTTTCAAGTTAAATGTTTCCAAGGCTTGGTTCTCTTGTTAGTGTAGTGTGATTCATGTTCACTGAACTACTCTAAAACAGTGTTGCACTGTGAGCTATATAAATTCCAGGAATACTGTGGACACCTCAGTTTCTCCTCATGAGCTCTGTTTTGAGTGCAGGACTACAGGGGTTACAGTCAGACTGTTCAAGCTTTCTTTTGTAAATGCAAGATATACATATTTTTTCTTCTTCTAGACTTCAAATCTCCCTTTGAAGAGAAAGGTGCCAGAGTGGTTTGGAACCTCGGAGGCAACTAGTTCCTCTCTTGAGAAGAACAAGAAACCCAAAGCAGGCACAAGAAAAGGACTTTTTAACTGAAGGTCTCTTCCCCCCTCCCCCCCCCGG